CTCTGTGTCTGTACATGTACAGGCACTGACCAACTTATACTATCAGTAAAATCCTAGGTTGCATGTACTCACCTTAACATTAAAAAAAAAAAAAAAAAAATTTAATACATTAATTATAATATTTTTTATAATTCAGTTTTTTGAAAAAATATAATTCAAATGATCATTAACAAGAATTGATGTTGAACTTGTTTTTGATAATTTTTTTATTTTTTAAGTCATCACATTTTCAAAACAAAAATTTTAAATATATATATATATATTTATATTTTTTATTTAATCTATAATTATTTAAAAATTTATAAAAATAACTATTCTTTACTTCTAATTAAAAATATTCAACACAATATATAGAAATTATTTTATAACATCTGATTTTTTTATAATATTATTAGTAAAAATATAAAAAAAGCTTAAAATTTTTTATTAAATTCGTGTAACGACGATTGACGAAATTAGCCAATCAAATGGATGCGCGATAACAAGAGTATCGCACTATGCGATGCCTAATTTGAAATCAGTAATTGATCATTCAATAGCCATAATTTACGAATACAATGGTTAGACAAGTAGACAATATAATAATTTAAAATTTTTTATCGAAAAAAAATAATAATTAACGCCAATCTCTCTTCCCAATACTACTCTTGGAACTATATAAATGCTTAGGTTTCTTAGATTTAATGCTCCTATCAGATTCACCAATTTTAGCATTTAAATTAGGCTTTCGTTGTGCAAGTTTCTTTTGTTTTTCACTTTCTTTCTTTTGCTAGATATGATTAAAAATTTGATGTGAATTAAATATTTCATAATTTCTTTCAAACAGCACTATCATTACCTTAACATTCATTCTAGAACTGCTACGATCACGAGACGCGGATGCGTTTCTTGTAATACTCAAAGAGTCTCGAACGATTTCGTCGCCAATAGATTCGGATCGTTTGCGTTTTCGCGTTCTACTACGTGCACGAATTACAGTTGTATCAAGACCCAGTTTACCTAATTTCTCTTCCATTTCATCGATGGACTATTAAAATCACAATGAATAATAAAATTTTTTTTAGATACATAGAAAAATGTATATATTGTCATTAGATCATAATTCTGTTTACCCTTTTAGTAGCAGTTCTCGGCATAATTGGTCGGTTTTTCATCATTTTGCTTGCTCTATGAGCCTGTATAATCAATTTCTTTTTTTCACGAATTGCTTCGGCGACTTTATTCATTTCTTCTTCTTCAGAATCTATCTGTTAATCAATTATAATCACAAGTTCATATAAATGATTTTCAAATAATCAATAATCTTAAAGGAAAAAGATTATTCTACCATGTTTTCCTCTGAATCGTAATAACCATCAGCCTCCAAACGCTCTTCCTCACGTTCTAAAGCATCTAATTTTTCTTCAATATCTGGGTCAACAAAATCAGCAACGTTTTTACCATTCATAACTTCTGGAATTATGTCATATTTCCATTCAACGTTTTTAAGTTCATACTTTTCTGTTTAAACCAATATCAAAATAGAAATAGATAACCAATAAGTAAGGTAATCAGTAATAAATAGTTATTTTATTAACTTACTCTTAAGATCAACACTATATACACCAGGACCGCCATTTTCTGCTTCTAAATTCCTTTCCAATTTGGGCCTATTAGGATCATTGGCATCATACTTAGGTCGATTTTTTACTCCTTCAGGGATATGAGGTGGACGTGGTATATCGTCACGCGCAACCGGTTCAGCGAGATGAATCTTATTAACAACATCATTGATCTTCGAACCTCTTAACTTGAAATCAACACGAGCCGCTAATAATTTATCGCATGCCTATAATTCCAATATATGTATACACAATCCATTTAAATAAATAAAATTGATAAAGATTTAATCCACTGACATACCAAATTTCTGGTTTCCATTACGCCTTCATCAGTATGACAACTTAGTTGAACTATCTGAGCACCATCTTTTTCACTAATTTCTTTTAGCATTGCTTGTTCTTCAGCAGGTATATCTTCTGGTCTCGTGACATCAATTTTATTTATGACGATAAATGTTGGTTTATTGATAAAAAGTGGTTTAACATTTTGGTATAGTGTTATCTTTTTTGAAAAATAATATGTACATACATAAACATGAGTCAGCAAAATAATAGTAAATAAATAAATAAAATAAATAAATAAACAGTACCTGTTCTGCAACACTATATCCACATTGTTCTGAAAGGTCCATAAAAAACATGATACATGCACGAAGATGCGCCAAGGCTGTGACAGATTGCATTTCAATGGTATTCATCTGTTCAAGCGAACGATCTAATATGCCGGGAGTATCGATTACCTAAATCGAAACGCGTTATTCCAAATATCAAATTAACGAACTTTTTTAAATAAACAGCAGATATATATATATATATATTTTTTTTACCTGCCATCTAAGATATTTATAATCCATATGCCCAACAAACAACGATTTTGTAGTGAAAGCATAAGGTTGCACATCAACATCCGCTCTAGTAATCTTATTCATGAAACTAGATTTACCAACATTTGGATATCCACAAATTAATAATGTACGAGTATTTGGATCTATTGAAGGCAACCGAGCCAAATGTTGTCGAACTTGTTCCAGATACGATAAGCTATCTTTTTGGCGTTTCATAATAGTAGCCATCCTATTATATATATACGTAAAATGGAAACGGGATTAATTCCACATTTTAACGGGTAATTTTTAAAAACTTAACGTGACTGCTTATGCTAAAATTTGAAATTATCAATCTTGGAAAATTTTTTTTGATGTTTTTATGATTTAATTAGGATTTAGCATCAAAATAGTTAATTAAAAGTACAAGTAGATTTTATATAAATAAATAGGAAACAAAACTTCAGCATCAGCTAATTTTAGCATAAGTTGTTACGATTAGTGTACATACCTTCCAAGAGCTGCTTTTTTTAATTGCTTACATCGATACAATGAATCACCAAATTTTAATAGGCGGACATATTCTTTGCCAACTTGATCAATAAGATGACGCGCAACATTAATTTGACCTAATGCTAATTTATAATGATCTTTATCATACAATACATTCATTAAGTCTGAATAGAATGGATGAATGTCCTATTATAAACATTAAAATCAATCAAAGATAAGCTTTCTAAACATTATTATGTAAATATGTTATAGTTCATGTTAAATCATACGTTAAGTTTCGGGAATTCCTCAAGAATGGCATTCAATCTTTCATCAAAACTATCTTGAGTAAATTTGACTTTGCGCATATAAAATTGCCTTATTCGACCAATTTTATATTGCTTATGAATTACAGTTGGTGTTTTTCTCTGTGTCTTTGAAAGCACGATATCCAAGAAATCATTTGCTGTTGGAATCGGCTGGATCCGTTTAAAATTATATAAAGCCATGGTTTAACGTTTAAAAAAGTAACGAAAAAAAAAAAAGATTTATATAAAAAAAAAAATTTAAGTTACACCAGATCGGACGGATTCGATTGGTTTATCAAATCATAAAATTTCAATTATTCAAATATTCGAACTTTAATACATTAAATTCAATAATAATCATTAAAAATGAACTTGTCTCCTCCTTAATTGAATTAGTGTCTCAGTTTTTCTAGAATAGGGTTAGCTAAGAGAGTATATTATATATTTTAGATTTATCGAAACAGAAAAGTATTTTCGAAAGAATTTATCTAAGTTTCCGAATGCAAAAATTGTTATTAAAAAAAATACTATCGAAAATTACAAATGTTCACAAATTTGGGATCAAATAAAAACTGCCGATCAGTTTTTCCGAAAGTTTTACGATTCTTAGGGCGAGACCGAAGGAATCTCGGAATAACAGATTTTGTCTGTTCCAGTATTTATGAAATTAGCTATAAAAAAAAAATACAACCGAAAATTGAAAGTGGTGCGTTTATTGTTAACGTTAAAACTGTAAAATACAATGATTAACGAACGCTCTCTACATATCTACTTGTTTACTATGAGTAAATTACGTAGTGAAAGAAGAGTATCGTGTAATGGTAATATATGTGACTCTCGTTATAGTGAACACTCGATATAAGTATAGTGAAGAACCGTTTATACAAAAACCCTTCGATCTAGTGAATTTTACTAATAGGCTCTTGATGTAGTGAAGACAACTTCACAGCTCGATCACTTCACTATAACGAGAGTCGTTTATACTAATAATATTAAGATGCTAATTATTGATTGATAAATGTTCTTCATATATGCAAAACGAGTAAATTTTTTAGTTTGCCAAAATTCTTTCTATAGTGACGTCGACGGGCATTCATAAATTTAAATTTATCTTAACCGTGAGACTGTCCAATTAAATTTTAAGATCAGGTGTAACGCAAAAAAATAACGATAAAGACAATCAAAAAATCGTTCGTTACTCAAAAGTTTACCTATTAAACCGCCTTTTGCGTACTAACAAAAAGTTTTTCTCGTGAAATTTTAATATAGTTAGTAATTCTTTCTGACCTAATCTGATAAAGAAAACCTAACCTTAGTCTCACAGCAAATTTTTTAGCGGAATTTTTTAGATTGGTAACGCTAGGATTCTAACTCTCGAACTTTTTGGTTTCGTACTTTCGGCACGATGAATTTACCGAAAGTATTTCAAGTATTTCGTAGCACCAAAGTACTTCCGGGGCAAGCTTTATCTTGGAATGACTACTTTATGTTAAGACGACGGCGGAGAATTGCAGAACGCATTATCACAATTCCAACCACACTCGGGGGCTTTGGCTTGAGTTTTGCATACGTTGCTACTAGAGAATTCGATCCGACACCAATATTCGGACAAGAGCCTATTATGATATATGGTGTTGGCACTTTAGTATGTGGTTTATCAGGTTTATTAATTGGGCCAATCCTTGGAAGTTCTCTTTGGAAGTTATTTCATCGAGAGGAAGTAAAATTAATGGAGCAGGTAAAATAGGACATGTGATTAGTTAGTAATTTTTATAATCATTTGAAAATTATGTATTTATTCTATAATCGTTTAAATATCGTCTAGCGAGATCGAGAATTTTATGAGCACATAAAAAAGAATAGAGCAGATCCATCGTTACACACGCTTCGTAACCCAGCACCCGATTATTATGGTGAAAAAATTAAATCAGTGACAGATTATCGTAAATGGTTAAAGAAACAACGAGAAATAGTGAGGAAGGGAACATTCCACATTGGAGAAGGTTCCATATAACCCAAGCAAATTGTTTTTAGGATTTTGCAGAGTTTTTCAAGATAAGTTAGTACCAATCTAATAATCTTGTCTGTTTTATTTATAATATTTAAAATTCTTACGAATTGTGTGAAGTGAAAAAAAAGTCATGCATAGACATATCCAAGAGTGGAAATTAATATATAAACTTAAGATTTACATCGCAATATTCATATTCGCATGAGCGCAATATGTGTGAAAGTTTTTTAGTTAGAACTAGTATTCATTATTCGAAAAAACTTTAAATGCAGGTCGCGTAGAAACCAATGACTAAAAATAAATTCAGATTCGTGCAACACGGAACCATTTTTATAGTGACTTTGTATTATTTTTCGAAGTTTAATACCAATCTGATTCGTTTCAGCATCAGCCTTCACATTTATTACCAGCTTAGTCAATTCACTAATTCATGCAATAATAATATATTGTAGTAACAAAAGTTGTCGTTATAGTAATATTGAAATATATATCGATATATACAGTCTGTTTTATCTAAGCACTTGCTCTTAATTTCTCTAAGTGCAGGTTTTAACTACTAATAAAATGATCTCTAAATTGCGGACGTTTTGTTCCAGGCATATATACACTTACATAATTAGCAAATAGAAAGACTTTAATATGATTGGCTGTTTAAATAAATCTATTGAATTTTTTTAAAAAAAATAAAGCTATAAATAATGAATAAATATATAAAAAAAGTAGGCATGTAGAAAGTTTCATTAGGGTTGTAAAACTCCACTATTGAGAATAATCAAAATTCTTTTTTGCTTTAGAGAAGTTAGCATAATAATGACTTTTTAAAAATAGGTTATTATCATGCCAACTTCTCTAAAACAAAAAGGAATTCTGATTATTTTCAGTAGTGGAGTTCTACAACTCTAATAAATTTTCTACCTACTTTTTGTTTATTCATTATTTGTAGTTTTGTTTTTTTAAGAAGTATATACTGTATTCTAATAATGTAAAATTCATAAAAGTCTTTCTATGAGCAGACACCGAATCTTAGAACTCATACAGGGGGATCCCCAAAATTCCGGGTCGGAACACTTCGGATTTAGCCCGGCATTTAGTTAGCATTTAGTAATACAAGTTAACCATTTCTGGGCCAAAATTATCAGCTGGGCAGCTTTACTTAATGAATGAGCTATGGTTTCATTAGTAAAACTTTTAGTGATCTTGGGCAAAATTAGTTAATTCCGGCCCTGCCGATTATGATTCCGATGTATTCTGACCCGGAATTTTGGGAATCCCCCTGTATGAGTTGGCGTGCATCTATGTGCCCCCAAACCTGTTTGAGATCTATGATGATCATTTCCAAATTTGGTAAGTTAAGTAATTATCTAATGTCGCCACCAAATAGGAGAGATATGGAAATCTGATGATAAATTAGAGAACATGTTTAGTAGGTATTTATTATATAAAAGAATGTAGGTTTATATATTTTTTATTTAGAGATGATTTCAGAAAGCATTTATCTTCCTGAGCTTAAAGGTCAAAGCAACCCTTTAAATACATTTCCAATTCTTATAAGGTTTATGCTATCTATGCTAAAACATATTATCTATATTCTATCTCTGAATCTCACATGCTTTCTCACAGACAACTTATTTATACAAGAGCATATATGTGATTAGAAGAAACTCACATGAGTTAGGTTACTAAGAAGACATAAGAATGTCTAATATTATAAAGGTAAGATTATGATAATACATTTATGAAAAGTATATAACAACTTAATGAATTAGACAAATATGGAAGTAAGAGACATTGAAAAAAATTATTTATTATACTAATAGCATTCAAATAATACAATAAGGTTTACATTTTTTACTTTTTGGATTAAAAATTTTCAATTATTTTTATTCCTTCTTTTGGCAATTATATGTTTTTTACAAAATTTTACAGTTTAATCATATTTTTAGTTTGTTATTACTTTTTTTTGTATACAGAGCAGTATTCTAGGTTATAATTTACAGTTGACTTTTATAAATATATTTCGAGAGCATTAAATATAAGTTTTTTAAATTCACAAGTACAATTTAAACTAAACTGCAACTTATAAATCCTTAAATCAATCATGTAAATAAATTAATCACTAATATAAAATTTATGTATTATCTAAATATATTGCTAATGTTTAGATATTGTTATAGAACGATTTATTATTATTTTATTATTAGTTATTATTATTATTATTATATTATTATTATTATATTAT